ACAAGAACTTCTGCAACCTTTTCCAAGCTCCTGTGAAGGATTCTCAAATTAAGTCTCTGGAGTCTTGGGACAATATCTTAGATGGGATCTTGACAGCTTGTGATTGATGGGAAGTGAAACTTCCTTGTCAATGCCTCTCTGTTTGCTATAGTGATTTTCCCACCCTTGGGGTGGGTTTTCAGCCACTTGCCTAGAGTTCTCTTGCAGTGATTATTTCTGGAGGAGTCCTGCTTGGTTTGTGTAGCAGCATACCCAAGGCTTGTCTCCTTTCTCAACTAGTTTCTTGCTTCTTCTCTACCATGCTTCCTTAGAGATGGCAGATACCAGACAGATCATGGTGCTGAGCATGACAGAACACCAGGTGATTTGTACAGTGTGCAGGAGATGGGAAATCACTTCTTTCAGGGGGACACAGGCCACCAACACTAGAGCAGCTGGAAGATATTTTGTTATATGTTAACTACAAGGGCAGGTCACCAACGGCCGTATTCAGCCTCCCTCATTTACGTGAGCAGTACCATTGGGGTTGAAGGAGATGTGAGGAAGCTGGAGACAATTCCTTGTGAAGCAAGATGCTCTTCAGTATGAGGAAGACTGCAAAAATCTGTCCCTTTAATAAAAATATTTGGAATAATTTTACTGCATATTAAGCTGCAGCACTATATTTAATTCTGTGTTTACTTTGAACTGAAGCAGTGCTTTGAAAGAGAAAAAAGGTGAGAAATATCAATGACAGCTGTCGAAATCGTTGTTTTGATTGTCACGCTGGACTCTGAATTCTTCAGTTCCCACTAGCAAGAAGATTTGCATCAGGACCAAAGTGTGTGGAATTTGAGGGAAAGATTCACATCGAGCGTAATTCAAGGCAATGTGGGGCAAGAACTTGTAGTTGGTTGTTCTTCATAAGCTGCATACTACTGTAACAGTAAATATTTACAGAACAGAGAGAGAAGGTCTGGGAGTGTTTGGCACATAGGAGAACCAGGGGGAACTCATCTTGAGAACTGCTCCCCATCAATCATGGAGGATATCAGTGCATGGGACTCATACCCAGTTGGACAAATGTTACTAGATGGATCTGCAAGGGGTTAGAACCTTGTTTCTGCATTCTCCTCAAGTCTTCTGAGTTCTAGGAGGCACAGGACAAACTGTGGAAGTCTTTGTGGGACTGGTGGAAATGGTGATATAGCACAGGATTGCCCCAGTTCCTGGTGTTTTAGCAGTGCTCTGAAAGGCAGAGGCATCTGTAGGTTGTTTTAATGTGATAACAACTCTCTAATGTCTTGAGGTATCTCTCTAATACCTAATATCTCAAATATCTCCTTGCAGGAGTTTGCATGAAAACCCTTTGGGAACTGTTTGAAACTACAACTTCAGGTTAACAACTCCTGGTAGAACATCAAGGTTTCAGAAGAGGCCGAAGGAGACAGGTTTTACAGGATTGAGCAGAATTCTTGTAAGTTGTGAGTGCTTTTGAAATGATAGCAGACTATTAGCAAAGGCAGCTCTGTCAGGAAAGGTTTTGACATCAGTTGCATTAAAAGGACATTGTCAAATAGGTTCCTGGGATGGTTTATAGCCTTTATGACTCTCCTAACCATGTTCTTTTGAAGGTGAAATTGGGATCTGGTTTCTAGCTAATCTTACAGTGAGAAAACCCATCTCCTTTCACCTGGCAATACTTTATTGATTTTTTCTTGTTACTAATGGTGCTTGAAAATAACTCAAATGTGCTTGAAAATAACTCAAAGCTTGTATCTGTTGCCTTATGCCTGTGCTTGCACTGTGTCTGGTGTTTTGATATTTCTGAAAATAAGCTTTGCTGTCTGTTCACACACCATCTGTTGGCTTTTAGAAAAGATATTAGGTATGACTTCCAGATAGTCAGTGACTCTCCTTATATCTGCCTACAATCCCTTTCTAAAGCCTATTGGCCTGTACTATTCCTACCTCCTTAAAATAATAGTGTTACAGGACAGATCCTCGAGTAAGTGCCACATGGCATGGATAAGCGTGTGTGCATAACCTAACACAGGAATAATGTTTATGAGACCTGCATTAACCATGGCTATTTTTATAACATTTATTTTTGATGGAAGAGAACTTAGAAACAAATGGAGTGCAGAGGCTATTTCTCAGCGGATTGTGTCCACCCTCCCTCCCTTGCTGCTCCCAGACATCAAATTTTGGTCACAACCAGCTTCAAAAAAAAGGAAAAAATGAAATTTTACTGCCTCACAAACTCGATCTGCTTGACTTTGTAAGTGCAAATAAAACCCTGCTTAGTCTTAACATTTTTTGTATGCATATTAATGCTTTTTTGCCTGCTTTCACTGCTATGCAATGATGTGTGCAGGGTCCTGCAGTTGAATGCATTAGGACAGTAGCATTTTAATTTCTACACGACCATATGTTTTTTTAGTGACTTTTCCTCAAACCACTGCAGTTCCATTAATGCTACAACTTCCTATTTGATTTTTGATTTTATATGCCTATCCTATGTGATCCTGTTAGTATTAAGAGACACCTCTGAAACTCAGTGGCACATAAAAATACCATTTGATTATTTGTGGCTTTTTGTGATGCATGCCGGGAATGCTATATTGCACTTTTCCAGTGTGCTCATTATTTTATGATAAGCTCAGCTGTCAGTCTGAATTTCTATTATTTCCTCTGTATTTTGTGAAGCTCTAAGAATATCTGACAGCTCCAACCTGAGTGTTTGCATTGCGCTAAAACAGACTTCACTTACTTTAACCAGAGACCTGTATATAGGCTAGCACTCTACAGCAACCTACGTGAGCTAAAACAAAGTAATAATCCTATCTTATTTCCACTGAAGTAAATAACAGTGCAGTGAAGCTCTAATTTTCTCTGAAATCTGTTGAAAGCTTTTTTTTTTTAATTATTTCAGTGGACTTCTAGTCACATTGCAAGCCAACAAACATTCCCTAAATATTTTTTTTTTTATTTACACCACTCCTAGTTTTCCTTACACTCCCCTAATATCTCTTTACACATTATAGTTCAGCTGATTGCCAGTGTCCCAGCTGTGTGAATACTCACTGCTCTGTCTGGGGATGGCAACACAGCCTCTGCGGCACGACACAAACTCCTTCACCCAGCTTCAGCACCGTCCTCGCTCTGAGCTGTGCTTTATCAGCTAGTCCATTTGAAGCAAATGGCTGCGATGCAATAAACCCAAATATAAAATATGCCCAAAGAATGGCAGCAGTGAGGAAATCTTTCTTTTGTCTGTCTTTGATTTAGCACAACTTTGTTTTCATCCGTGCTTGTGTGCAGCAGGAAAGAGCTGGCGAGTGAAAGCCTGCTGGGTAACAGCAACAGGCATTGGCCTTGAATTTGATTGTTTTTGTCAGAGAGAATTGTTGATTTCTACCTGGAAACATTTTGGGGTGTTGGATCTGGTTTCTTTAGTTGTCCATGGTAAATTAAATTTGTGTTAAAGGAAGAGCTTGGATCCATGAACCTCAGTGGCTGCAGGATTGGGCACTGCATCATGCTTGTTCCCTTCTCTGCACCAACGCTGCAGTTCCTGTGACCCTGCTGACGTCACTAATTGCTCCAAGTACTCCAGGTCTGTAATTCATCACTAATCATGAGGGTTTTTCTGGCTGCACGTGTGCACTCAGCCATGCTACTGTGCTTCTGGAGAGGCAGTCCCCTGGAACAGGGCACGGAGGGGCACAGGACACATGTCTCTGGGCTGGGAGGGTCCACTGTGTTACTTGATTATTCCTGGCACTGCTGGAAAAGCCAACTACAGACATGGCTTTTGCAAGGAGTTACATCAGAGGTCTTTAAATCTGTATTTGCTGGCACTGTGATTTTCTGCTTGAGGAATGAAATCCATAGCAAGACAGTCTCATGTCTTTGCTGGGGTACCTGAAGGCAGATGCAAGTAACAAGACACTCTTCGAGTTCACCTCTGAGCATCTGTTTTGCTGTGATGTGCAAAAGTACAGGCTCCCTGGAGGGGCTGTAGTGAAAAGGCACACTTCTCAACAGCAGAGAGAGCTAACAGGCAGCTTCCCTTCCCTTAAGGTCTAGACTTCCCTCTCTGTGCTGTCAACTGCAGCCCGTCACTGCAACTCGCGTGAAAGTTCACTCCTGAGGACCACAGCCACACTGCAACTTAAACAGCACTCACAGAAATGAAGATGAAAAAATGGGAACAAAGAAAGAAGTAATAAATGGGAGGAGGGAGACTATAATAAACCCACGTGTTTACAACTCCACTTTGATGAGTTTTTTTACATGAGATAGTCCATTAAAAATAATCTTAAGGCAATTGGATCACCTTAAAGCACTTGAAGTCAGTATGACCTTCAGCTTTTTGGTTTTTGCTATTTTTGTCTGCCCGGTAGAGATGTAGAAATCCAGCTGATCTATAAGGTAAATTTTCAGTTGCCATGGCAATGTGTCTCATTCACGTTCTCAGTTTGGAAGGGAGATTGTTCCATGCTGCTATTTCATGTCTAGGGCAATATTCTTTGGTGGTAGAACTTTGTTTCAGTACATTAATGCTACAACTCTGTTCTTCCTTTCCCAGCTTAGGGAAATATGGCTCAGCCTGAACATTCCCCTGTAAAAATACAGTTATTTGCATTTTTCTTGTAAGAACATTCCTTAAGTCTGGAGGTAAATGTTGATACATTTTGATAGCTTGGGTGCAGCAACATCCTGATGCTGTGAAGTTTCATCATTAAATGAAAACAGACTGGAATCACTCCACTTTTGCTTCCATGTGGTTTGAACAAACTAAAATATATCCTGAACTAGTGAGTCATATGAAAGAAAAGTAATTTAAAAGTACATCTTACCTATAGTATATATCTTACATTAGATTTCTACAGATTTCCATGTGCTTTCAGTCAATTCAGATTTGATTCCTAAGTACTGCAAATTCCTTATTTAGATCGATTCTTGCTTAAGGCCACAAATGCAGATCCTCTTGTTTCTTTTAGTTCTTTGTTTTTCCACATGGCACCTTCACCTTATTCCTAAGTGGAGGAGTCCAGCAGGAGGAGGCATCTTGGTTTCTGTTGGCTCAGTGCAGTCTGCAGTAGTGGGAACAGACTGTGTACAACTCTGGAGGGTTAGGAAAGCACATAGACATGAGTCTGCCTAGTGTGATACAGCCTGGAGGTTTCACAGAATGGAGGGCTCCTATATTTGGGTAAAAAGAACCCCTTTCTGGTCATGTTCTCCATTTCAGTTGCATGTGACCTTCATTGCCTTTCTAACCTGCTTGGTTTCACTGAACTCATCTTGCTTTTCTTTCTAAGGGACTTCACACAAGGGTGCAACAGCGATGGCACTTTGCACAACGCTTCTTCTTCTTCTTGGGGTGGAAAATGGTCAGGATTGCTTCATCGAAGACAGTCTTAAGGCCCTTCTGTGTGAGTGCTGAGCACTCCAGATAGCACTGTGCTCCGATCTGAAAGAGAAGAGAGAAAAAGTGAGTACCCACAGTTAGGGGAGACAAAACAACCCCGTTCCAGCATCCTTCTACGTGCATATGTGTCCTGCCACAGAGGCAATCCCACACCTTTAGAAAAGAGGTCAAGTCTTTGCTCTGTTTTGTATCTGGCTGCTTATGGGATTAAGGGACAAGCTTGAGTGGTCACCCTGAACAAGCAGGGATGAGCCACAGCAGCAGTAACACAGGGGGTTAAGGAGGAGCAGGAATTCCCTGCGTTACCCTCCAGAGAGAGAGAGAGGCTGCACTCATGTTCCAGTGCTGGACCAGGAGCCTGGCTCTCCATCCGTGCAGCTGGGGGGGGTTTCAAGGAGATGCTGGCTCATTACCTGAGTCCCTTCCTATTTGTGGCTCTTCTCACCTGACCTGTCACCCCTGTGTCCTACCACCTCTGTGTCTTGCCTCCTGTAACATCAAGGAGCTGCTACCTGGGCTTCCAGCTGGCTTCTGGGAACTGGGAAGCATCATCTTGGGATGGGAGTCTCCTGGGAGTGCTGTTGTGACACGAACACATATAGTGGCCTGGGAAACAGCCTCAGTTTATTCAGCCACCTTGTTTCTTATTCTGCTAATGGAAGATCCCGCTGGCCTTTGAGGGCCAGAGCCTGTAACAGCACCTGCAGCATATGTGGTGGAAGCAGCTGGGGTCCAGATTCAGGGCTTGGGGAGGGCTTTTTTCCCCCTACATTCCCAGAAGAAGGGTGCAATAGCACAGAAACTGTGGGATACCCTTCTCTGCTGCTTGAAGTGCAATAGGTAAGTGAGAATCAAGTTGTCTGTGCTTTTGTAAGGAATAGAGACCAGATTGGCGGGAGGTGACTGCCGAGAGGGGTTTGCCACATGTACCTCCTGGCAGAAGCCTGAACAAGAAACAGATGACTTAGGTACAGTAGGAAGTAAAATCTGTTTTGCTGCCCATTTGGCACCTACTATCCTGTGTACCTTGCTGCTCTGCTTGGAGCTCAATTGGGTATCACAGAAGAACAACAGGGTCAGGAGTCCCAGTCTGTGTCTGGGTCCAGCCTGTTTGAGCAGAGGCTTTAACCTCTGGCTGTGTCCAACAACAAACCCCAGAGGAGTTCATCTTGAACAAAACAAACTCAATGGGAAGCTATGATCAATCGATTTCATGGCACCTCAGAAAAAGCTATTACCTCCTTTGCTAGCTTCACTCCATGCTCGTAGGTGAGTGGTTTCTCCTTCATGTAAAGCAGCCGAGCCAAAGTTTTGGGGTCATCCCGGAGATCGATCTAATAGAAAATACACAAACCCTGTGCTCAGTACCACCTTGCTGGAATTCTTGAGACAGGCATTCATAGATTTACAAACCCACAGCCATGTCCTCGCGTAAGGGCATCTGTCCTCCTGGCCTCAGATGACACATCAGAAATGAATCACACATGTATTTACCTTTTTTTTTGTTTTGTTTTGTTTTTTTTTTTTCCTTTCTGCTTAACATGAATTAATTTTCCCTGGTGGGTTATTGGGCCACTGCTCAGATAGCTGTGGCACAGTAAAAATATAGTTCTCAATGGTTCTCACAATGCATCTTGGAAAGTGTTGGTGGAAGCCTGAGCCCCACTGGAAGGGGAGGCTGCTTTGCCCCTGCACTGCGTCACCCAAAAAACACCCTGACAGACCAGACAGACCCAGCTCAGTCTGACTGACTTGAAACAAAATCACTTATTTCCATGGAAAACATCAAAGTGAAGCATTCTGGCATTTCAAAGCCATCCACTTTCAGAGTCTGTGTTTCAAAGGGTAACACTTTTATTTTAAAATGGGTGTTTTAAATTATTCTTGTGTGGAAAACAAAGCCAGTGTTTGAACAACTGGACTTTCTTATGGTATGAAGGTTTTGGTTTTGACCAGAATTTGATCTATTTCTCTAACTTGTCTTAGGTTACTGTCCAGTGTTGAGACATTTTCCAGACTCATATCTTTACTTCTCACAGTCTCTAGCCACTCTGTGTCTTGGAAGCAAACCCATATTTAAGGCATTTTTATTTGATTGATAGATTCAGAGATTTTAAGGCCAAAAGAAAGTGGTTGGATCGTTTAGACTAACATCCACTATAACACAAGCAGGACGGAGAGTCACTAATTGCAATGTTGATGTAAAAGCATGAAGGGAGGCTATTTCTTTCCCTTGTCTCTAAGACAGATATTTGGTTAATTACTCCCATTCTTAAAATTTAGTTTGAAGTTTAGCTTCTTCTTCTAACCACACACTTTGATGTTTGTTTTTTTTTTTCCTCTTACTAAAAGCCTGTCAGAAATCCTTTCTCCCTGTAGGTAGTTATGCCTTGTTACCATATTAATATACATTTGAATAAAAAGATGGGATGAGTTTTGCCAGTTGTGACTAGCATCATGGCACATCTTCATGTTGGTTTCCACTACCAGTCCCTGACTTTTCCTCTAATGGGAAAGTCTGGCTGCATTTCACATAAGAAATTACTTTCCAGATAGCTCAGCCTGCAGCCACCCCTGGGGTGGATTGGGAGTCCTCTCATTCTGAAGATGCCTGTGATGGCTGATGGTGCCCTGGAGAAGTGTTACCTGTGTTCCTATGAGGACATAAGGCACATTGGGCATGCAGACTTTCAGCTCGGGCACCCACTCCTCCTGAACGTTGTGGTACGAGGCGGGATTCACCACCGAGAAGCAGATCAAGAACACATCCGTGTTGGGGTAGGACAGGGGTCTCAGCTGGTTGTAGTCCTCCTGCCAGAGGGAAAACAGCAACACATTATGAGATGGGTGATAACTGCAGATGGGGCATCACTTTGGCTCTTGATGAATGGCTCAACACTGTCCCTCCATGCTCATGTACACTTAAAACCTCTGGGGAGCTGCTGAGGGGGAAATCTGTCTTGTGGGCCAGGGGTGCTGTTTTGTCAGCATGTTTACTCAAAAGATCTAAGACATTTTGTTTGTGTGTGTGTTATTTATGCTGGTGTAGAGGGTAATGCTAAACAGCGACCATCACCCGTGGTGTAATAAAAATTGATCTTGAGTCTGCGTGTACTTGTCTCAGCCCTCCAGCAAAGTGATACCATCCTGGGAAGTTTTATTTGATGGTCACTGCTAGATAATATGTGCTGATGACACACATCTCTAGGGGCTTTTCTGTTAAAATTATGGGCTTTCTATTCCCCAGTAGACATTATAGACATGACCATATACAACAAATATAGGTCTCCAGGCTATTTGGTGCCATCACAGTCATGTACGGTATGCAGCAATGTTTCAGACAGCAGAAGACGCTCATCTTAAAAGCAGAAAGCAGATCAAATCCTGCCTGCAGTGACTGGGTAAATCACTGAAGGTAATTTAATGTTTCCACAGGCCTCAGACTGTGGAAGGAGAGATGTCTTCTCTTTCTGCTAGCTGTGAAGAAGGTGATTTTTCAAACAGCTCAAAGTGCAGCTGTGTCATGTCGTGAGCTGGCTTTGGTAGCTGAGTTTCAAGGAAGAATTTGAGTCTGTTTTCAGGCTTGAGATGTTAAGAGCAAGAAGAGGTTTCGCAAGTGGTGTGAAAGGGATAGACTGGCTCTTTCTGATGGTGAGAGCATATGTAGCTGTGTCTGGTGGGAGCTTTTCAATGAAACCTGTTAGAAAATTTCAGTGCAATGAAATGTGCTTTTAGAGGGGATACACCTGGTCAGAAGACTTTTTTGGGGAGTCCAGAATTAAAAAAAGGGAAAGGAACACAAAGTTGGAGTGTGTGAAATGGTAATACATGTTGCTGTCAAGCCTGACTCCTAGGTCCTTAGTTTAGAGTTTCTGCGTTCCAGGCAAGCCTCATATCTCTGCATTATGGTCACTTTTGTTTGCAATTGTCTGAAACTTCAATGGGTGCTATTTACAGATACTGAAATAGTTAATAACTCATTGAAAAAGAATAATGAAAAAAAAGATATTCAGGTGCCGTTGCTCATACTTGAGAACAGTTATTTGAGACATTGAGGTACTAAGGGCAGGAGTGATGCATGCTGCTGTCTATCCTGCAGGAGAAACTGGTGCAGGACTATATCGCTGTGTGCCCAGATTAGATGGTGTGTTCATTTAACCTTGCTTCTGTCTTGCTTTGGTTGGGTCAACAAATGACAAGACTTAATTATGTGTTGAGACTGGTAAATCTTGTTTCCAGCCAAAGTCTTTTGTTCTCTGAGTATGTAGTGATAAGATGACCCACACTACTTCTGAACTGACACTCATTTCTGAAAAATACTAATGGATTACATAAAAACAGTCTGCTCCAACCTTTTCTAAACAAAAAAAAACCCCTTAATTATTTATTCTGAAAGGAAGTATGAGGCCAAATTTAGCTCCATCTCATTAAAAATAAGTTTAAAGAAACATCCTGAACCACAAACAAAATGTTTTGTTTTGTCTAACTGAACGTTCATTGTCCAAAACCCACTTCAACAGGAAGAGTAAATTCCCAGTTACCACCTCTAGCCCCACAGCTACAGTATTTCTGGGTAAAGCCAGAGTATTTGCCAACTGACCTGTATCTTTCCAGTGTAATAGAAAGTATTGATCCGAATTTACATGACAAAAGGAGCTGTTTGGACATAACAGCCCAAGAAAGAGTGGATTCTCCACATTCAGGGAATGGCAGGGGAAAAAACCTGAGGCATTTGTGGGAACATCAGTGATACAGGCCATGAAGAAGCAAAGTCGGTGGGAGGAGATTTATATGAGGCTCTGGAGACACTCAGCTCCCACAGATGAGTTAGATAGAGGCAAAGTGGATGCCAAGATGATGGGAGGAAAGGAGCAATTACATTGCAGGGACAGCTGAGTTTTGTGTGGATGCTGTGGGTGAGGCAGGCCTGGCATGATGCTTGTTTGATTATGGAACGTTATTTTAACCCAGGACATCAAACCTGATGACTTCTCCAAGATTATGCCACAGTTGATGTGGACTGATACTAGGTGCTTGGCAAAGGCATTTTCTATGTTTTCGGTTCATTTTCTGCAAATGAGCTTCCTAAAGCAGCCACGCGATGGCAGCAAGCCCTTGAGGAATCGTGATTTAGGATTTTTGGAAAGAAACAGGCTCAATATAATCAGTTTCAATATTCCAGACGTGCCTATTTAGAGAGGCTGGAACTTACTGTACCATTAACATTACAAACTAAAAACCACAAGCGGCTCTGTCTGGCAGTGACAACTACAGGAGTGTGTATTTCATTTTATTTCACTTGTTCCTTTGGAGCCCCTAGAAAATACTTTTTCAAGAGGAGCACTCCTGACCTGTGTTAGCAGCACAGAGCATTATATAAGCCATAAGGAAGGACAACCACACATCACGTAGCAGAGGTCGTGTCTCCCATCAGGGCACACGGGAGCTTGCACAGATGTGTTAAAGCACAAGCATAAATGTCATGGATAAGAGTTGATCTGGGCTCCTTTACGTGCCTGCCAGCTGGTAGGAGCCTCCAAACCACATCAGACAAGGACCCTATCTCTGTTCATACCTGCTCTTCAGGAGAAGGTTATAAAACCTTGCAATGGACTGTTATAAGATGTGGTACATCAGGATTATTTCTCATTCAGAAGTGATTGAAGTCAAGCAAAGAAATAGTGTAAAAAAGGGACTGGACATCTGCGTGGGTATGGGGCAAATCCAGAGGTGCTGCAGGTAGAGACAGTGGTGTTTGGGAAGGGACATGAGTCCTCATGAGGTTAGGCTGTAGCTGAGCATTAATTTGTTTCCCTAGCTCATGCTTGCATTTTGCTGCCTGTTATTTAGGGAGTGTGAGACTTCCCGCTTACACTGCCTGGCCACTGGTTTGGCATGGAAATGCCAGCTCCAGACCTGGCCTTGCTGAGTTACCTGCCTCTGACTTGCCAGGGCCAAGATACATTGATTGGTGTTGCTCCCTCTTCACTCTATCGCTGCCATAAGTCTTGCAGTGTTTGGACACAGAAAGTACAGCAAAACTTGGGGTTTTTTTAAGTTGCTGCTGTGCTGATCTCACATACGCTCCTTGCCATGTCAGCCTGTTAAAGCACTCCACACCCGAATCCAGCCTGGGGAAAAGGACCACGGGTTTTTCTCTCCCAGGACTGTTTGTGCCAGGGATGCAGAAAACCAGATACCCCACGTCTGGGTTCTGGGCCAGCTCTCCCTTCAGGCTGACAGAGGGTCCTGCTGCAGGAGTACATTTTCCAATTGTTATTTCATTAGCATATGTTTTATAGCACCGTAATATGGAGTGCTATTTTTGGCTATGACTTCACATGGATGCCTTTGGAAAAACCACATGACACAAGGAGAAGGAGGGAGGAAACAACCCAGATGATGTGTTGTTAAAGCTGGAGCATGTGGGAAGCATCATCCTTTCAGCCTCCACGGAGATACAATCTAGTCATCAAGAAGTGATTCATGCTCTGAGCTTTGACTAGATGACCACGTCCTCTGGACCAAGGTCTGAAAGGGAAATGAGTTAGAAACAGTGCTTGGAGGAAGGTGGTGCTCTGGCTAGTTTGAAGCAGGAGATGGCAAAATGATTGTGGAGGAATGGATAGAGAGATTAAGTTTGTCACAGAGGCAGATTTGTGTTTGTTTGGGTTCAGGAGGACAAATAAGAGGATGTGAGGAAATGGCTGGCAGGTGGAACTGTCAGCTCTACAAAACAAGTAGAAATATTAAGGGACTGAGTAAAATCTGACTGAGCACTGAATATATCTCCAGTCTCATTTGCAAAGGCTTGCAGTGCTGCTGGCTCACGACAGATATGCTCTGATTGCTGTGTTTGTGAGCATGGAACAGAAAACTGAACATGCATTGAACATGGGAAAAGGACCTGGGTCATATTTTGGGACTGGCTTTTGGATCATCTGTTTGTGCCGTGTGAATAGAAAGGAAGGATGGACTGAAAGTGACACCGAGCTAGCTATGAAGTGACTGTTACTGCCTACAGATATGTGACAGGAATAAAATGATAAAAAGTAAAACCCAAAGCAAAAAATGCCAGTCCTGCTGAGTGCAGGTTTTTCTGGAAGTGACGGACTGTCCTGATGCAGTTTTTGACCTCTCTGCATACTACTGCAAAGTATACTCTGTAATAAGTGGCCTTCTGCAGACAGGAGGGTCTCCTTCTGCATTGTTTATGCATTTCATAGCAGTCAGTCAGGGCCAAAAAAAGCACAGCCAAGAAGTGCTCCTGAAAACAAAGAGCTGCATCCAGGGCTGCTGGGTCCCAGAGAATGAAGCAGGCTCCCAAATCTGCTTTCCTCTCCTACTGCCTCCAGTGCCAGTGCTGACCTGAGGAGCTGGTGGATGTGGGTTCCAATCTTCCCAGGCTGGGTGGTACCTGGGACCTGCTCTCTCCCCAGTCAGCAGGTGATTTTCTGCAGGGTTTCTGTGCATATTATGGTCCATCCTCTATTCTACCAGCTGCTGGCATTTGAAGTTGGGAGAGGGAAATTTCACAATGAAAATATGTTGCTCCCTTTACCCTCTTCTGCCCTTCTACTGTTAAATCTGTATGTAAGCATGAGTTACCAACTCTCCTGTAATGGCCACCTTGTCCTGGGAGGAAGAAGTTGGGATGGATGCCAGTCTGGCTGGGTTACCATTGAAAAAGTCAATAGCTGGTGATCAATAAGCTGGTGCTGTATTGTATTAGTTTTCTGATCTTGGAAATGGGAACTCTTTGCTGTATCTTCAATGCCACCATGTGGTAAATGTAAGAAAACACTGACTTTACACAAAACATCATATTTGACGTAGGAAGTGGATATATGGGTGGCTGAACAGCTTAATCAGGCTTTACTTTTTTGCTTAGACAAAATTAGGAATGAGTGTATTTGTGTGTGTTTTATTGCTGAACCAGAATGAAAGCTCTATGTAGAAAACAAAAAGGAGAAGGTCAGCAGTTCAACCATTACAGCTCACAACTGATTGTTAATATTTGTAAAAAAAAACCCCCACAAACATCACAAACTACAAGCCCTAGTATATGGTAGTAACAAACAAACCATGGGAAAGGAAAATGTTTTGCAGTAATTTACCTGCCCTGCAGTGTCATAAAGTCCCAGCAAGTGTTGCTGTCCTCCCACAGTCACAGTTACTGCAATAGAGAAACAAGAGATGTTGTTTAGGCACAAGCCAGTGGTCTCATTTTCAGCTGTTTTAATGCTAAAATGCCAATAGACCCTTGTGTTAGGCATATTAGCATGTGTCTTACAATGTGCATCCTCAACCACACACATCTACTCAACCCAAATTGAAGGCAACCTAAAGCCACAAGAAAAGCAAATCCTTTATGCCAAGCTCTTCTTTCTTTACAAACAGCCAAGAGCAATGAGCTGCACACACAACTACTGTCAGGGACCCAGAAACCAGAGGACGTTTGCCTCTGCCTCTGAAGCCACCAGCTGACTCCTGTGAGGTGCTAGGACTTGAAAGCAAGCAATTCCTGCCTCTCCACCATGAGCATTGAGGTAGGGTTGTCATGGATCATTGGAAGGGTTTTAAAATTATTTTGTTTCTTCCAGGCTGTGAAATGATGAAGCATTCAGCAGTAGTTGGTGTTGGGTGGGTCTCAGAGGAGGTGTGCTGCCTCTTGAGCAACCTGCCCTGTCCTGTGTGACGCAATCACAGGTCAAGTGACAGCGCTTAATACATGAGGCTTTATAGTGGATGCTTCAAAGGACAGGGAGGAAGAGGGGCACTAATATTTGCAGGGATGTTGAATAGATTCTGTTGCAAATGAAAGAAAGCATGGCTTAGTTTATTGATCACACTCAGCACGTTTACTCCTTTAGTAGAATTCCCTTTGAACTTCATTTTGAGCCCATTGACATTGATGACAATGTTTTCTCATTGCCTTTGGATGAATCTCGTTATTAGCTGATTTCTGTAATCAGTGTTATTTTATATAAAGATATCATCTGCGTTAACGACATTTAGTTAACCAGTTAATCTGCTTAAATCGTTACTACTCAACTGGAAAGAAAGGGGGGGAATCCAGTTCCACCCAGCAGTCAACATGAAGACTTCGAACATTCGTCAGGAAGGTTGATCAAAATAATGGTATTCTCACAGCCCAAGGACTATTATTTTTTTAAGCACGAGGACAAACAACTGAAATGAACACAAAGCTACAGCTGGGGTAGGGGGGTGCTAAGACTGCTACCCCTCGACTGGTGGCAACTTGCAATTAATGGGGGGTAGGAAAGATTAATAGTTAATTTTGGCAAAGAGGAGGCTTGAAAACAACACACAGGTTCTTGCTAATTTCTTTTTAAGTGATAAGACTTTTGTAGGAGAAAAGCATCTACCAGTTTATAGAAGTTAATAGCTCCTGCACTGGGGAACAATGTGCTGTTTGAAATCTCTTAGACTTGAAGTCTCTGTCAGTGTGGCTGGACAGACTGTTTATTCAGCAGCTTTACTCGCTTGCAAAGTGACACGGTAATTTTGCTAGCATATAAACAGAACAAAAGTGACATCCTGAAAGTACAAAGGCTCAGCAAGGACCAGACTTGCTGATGAGAGCAGGACAGGCTGCACTCACCCGCTGCTGGAAGAGTTGCCTTGTGATGTGCAAGGGAAAAAGGGGCTGAGACCCCTCCTCCCACTCCTCCGTTCAGGTAGCTTATACACAGTGCAGCTCCCAGGGGAACTCAAAGTGGAACTAGATGTTGAGCATGGATGTCCATGGGTGGAAGAGCCCAGAGAATATGTAGCAGAGTGGGGAGATGGGTACCAGTGCAGACAGGAGACAGTCCAGATGTTCCATCCCCTTCCTTCAACTTGATTTGTATAAAATAATTTGAACTAAACCTCTGCAGAGCCCTGGTTTTCTAGTTTTTGTGGTGCAGAGAGTCTCAAAATGTCCCAGTAGAGGAATGAACTGTATAGGTCTACTGTCAACAAGTTTGCTTTTCTTAGCTCCCTTCTCAGAAACAGTGGAGGTCACAGATGGTCCTGCACAGCTTACTGGAGGCAGCCAGGAGGTGTGCCATTTTTTCCAGTCGCAACCTTGGCCAGCCTTCAACTTGCCCTTGTGCCAAGAAGTGCAGGAGCCAGACCTGTTCTGCTGATGTTACTCTGCTCAAGGTCCAACCATGGGAAGATGTACCCTTCAGCTGAAAGCAATTTTCCAGTTGTGGTGCCTTAGCCATGCAGTGTTCAGCTGGCCAAGGTGGTGTTTAGGACTGCACGTGGTATTTAGGACTGCACATGTACATCAGTCATGCTGTCTGTCCTTGGTTGAATTTACATGGAGTCTGCAGAGCACCTCCAAAGTGGGATGCTCATAGGACAGCTGTGTGGCCATGGAGTGCAGGTGATCTAACATGTCTGATGAATATAAAGAGACATTTGCCATACGTCAGTACTGACATAATTATCCAGCTCTACTTCTCATGGCAGTTAACCCAGAGCGCAGGAAAACTGAGCTGGGTCCTGCTTACAAAGATCAGCTCAGGTCTTCAGTGTTTTAAAAACTTCAAAGTCGCACTGAAATTTACTCTGTCCAGGCTTGGGCTGCTGTGAAGCTTTGCTGGCCTGTCTCTTGCTGGCAGTTGATGGACAGAGCTACACTGGCAAAAAGCCCTGGTGCAGATACAAATTGCTGCCTTGTTCCAGTAGTTAATATGGTTTGGAGATAAGCTGTTTGGATAGAGGTCCAGTCCATCTCCTCTGTGCTATGCTTTGCCAGAAGGATATGCTGCAACAGCTCCTAAACTATTATCTGTGCTCTGTGGTGCATGAAGTCACAGTGGATATTTTGCAATAGGTCTGTGGAGCCACACATGGAATTGTTATTGATAGCTTGTGCAGTTCAGTTTGGCTCTTGGTGACCTCTGGGTAATGCTGAGGAGGAATATAGAGGTTAGTGGTGTCCTACCATTACTCTTCACATACACAAGGGCTAGGAAATACAAGGGCTTTTGGAAAAATATACCCTGAATCTACCCAGCTTGCACATGACATTTTAATTCTCATCTCTTGCCTCTTATGGGTCTTGTGAATTTCTGTGTCGTACCAGTCATAGCTTTTTTTCTTCTTTTATTTTTTTAAACTTTTCTTTTATCTTTTATATTTTTTCTTTTTTCCTTTTCCTTTTTTCTTTTTTATTTTCCCCATGAACATTTATATTTTCTTTCTTCTTGTCCATTGTTCTAATCTGTCTCTCATCATCAGAAGATATCCTTCCTGTCCACATCACCTCTCTAAGTTTACAGCTACCACCCCATCAAAACTATCTTGTTGGCTAAACTTCAGCAACAGGCAAACTGCTGTCTTTGGATTAATGGCTCAGCCTGCAGTGGGGTCCAAATGGCTCACCCTGACAATTCAAATAATCACTGGCTCTTGAAACAGCAATGTCTAGAGTAATGGATTGGTGCTGAAATTTCCACCACACTTTCATGCAGGCAAAACAGATATCAAAATAAATGGCTTTTGCCTGTGAAAACATCATGGTATTTTTATACTAAGAGTTTATCAGTCTGTCTCTGTCAGGCAAAAGGCTGTTTAGCGTGTCCACTTGGTAGGTTGTATTTATGAGCTGAGATTGCTCTCCTAGATTTGTAGGCCTTACTTTTGGCTTTATCTCCATTAACTTTTACTTACTCTGTTACTATCTTTTCCTGTTCTTTCAGTGGCCAAACCTATGGGAAGCCAACACAGAATTTTTTCCCAGTCATTGGGGCAATTCAGGCTCCTTTATGGGCTTGTGAACGCGGCTTTATGGGCAGTCTTGTAGTAATAAGATAAATACAAACTCTCCTTGCCATTTACTGGCTATATTGACATCTTGATTAAGCACTGAAGTGGCACGGCCTTTAACACCAAGTACAGTGGGGACTGCAATAAAACGTGGCTGAATACTTGCACAGTCCTGGTTCTCATTTGGCTCCAGTCTGGGTTGCGTCAGAGGAGCAACAGGGCAGACGTTTTCCTCCTTTCACTGGGTGGTTTTAAACAAGTGCAGGATGTGTAAAATACTGCTTTAAAAATATTAGTTAGGTCATAAATTAGCTGGGTATTGCTTGCTAGAGTTTGAGTAACTCTTTTGGGTTAGCTCCAGGGCTTTGTCGCAGGTCTGTGTGCCTGGGGGTTTTGCTAATGGGCTTCAACACAGAGCTCTGAAACATGCTGTTCTGCTTGAAGGCCACAGCAGAATAGCAAGGTGTTAGGTGGAGTTATTGTGTGGGCTGGATCTGGTGTGTGGACTATGAACTGGTCGGAGCTGGGAGCTGTCTTTTTAAATAAGTAGTTAGTTTGTGTTCCTGGCAAAATATGTCTGGTTTTGTTGTTGTTTTTGTCACCCATATTGCTCCAGATCCACCTGTCAATGGCCAGTTTTTGCCAAACTCTTCCCCTGCTGTGTTTCATTTACTCGCAGCAACGCCCTGGTGACGTTGCAGGTCTGAACTGTACCCATGGAAGAGCCCTTCAGCCACACAACAGTGATGTTCATGGTCTGTACTGACAGAAAGGAGACATAGAGGTCTGCTGCCCTCCCAGAGTCACTTGATTAAAAGCATCAGGCAAATTTCTGGTATAACACCAAACTAGGATGCAATAGCTCAGACGCACTTAGCTGTGGTATAGGAGAGTGGATGGTAACAGGAGAGTTACACATCACAGGGAATTTTTCCATGCCTGTGAAGAAGTGCTTGCAGAACCAAATGACTGTGAAACCACTAGCCAGAATATACACAATAGCTTAGAAAATGTCTAATATGATACCACATAGGAAGGTATTTATTTATTCTAGTGCCTTCCTGCCAACAAATTAAGGTTCAGCTACTTTGGAAAGAGATGCCAGGAGCCTGACAGAGATGGCAGAGATGGTAGCATGGGCCTGGATGGAAAGGCTTTTCTCATTTCTTTGGACAAATTAGTCTGCATCAAGCCTCAAACTTTCACAAATGCCATTTTCTGTCCTTGTCAGCAAGCTCTGACTGTTAAGTTTGTTCGTCTGTTCACTGTGATTATCTGTACTAGATGCATGTTACTTTTCATTCTGCATAGCTCCTAAATAATGGTCTCTATGGTTGAAATGTGAGGATCCCTGTTATATTCCAACTAGGGGCTGAAACTCAAACACTT